TGGAAAAAATAAAATTACATCTTACATAAATAGCCCATGTTGTTATGGAGCATTCTGGAGAATGGTGTCGTCTCATCTCCTGAATTAGCTAAACTTTTGTGCTTCTAAATAGTGCTTATCTTTTTATTTCTGTATTTATTTATTTAAGAACAGGATAGTATTCAAAATCTTTAGAGGTTTATCCTCAATCTGGAATGGCTTGCATGCTTTTTTTTTTTTTTTTTTTTAAGTTAGAGTAGCTATAGGGGAAGATAGTGCTTCAGGAAATTCTACAAGTAAACCAAAGTTAAAAAACAACAAAACAAACAAAAAAACCCCATAATTTCCTTGAGAAAATCAACTGAGAACAGAAAATTAAACGTGAAAGAACAGTATAAAGTTATAGACATGAAAATAATTATAGTGAAAACAACTGAGGCGCAGGATATTGATTAACCAGCAAGAAAGATGTTGAGGATGCATTGTGAATTAATTGGAAATGTGACTTTTTTATTTTCACTGTACGATCTGTGGTCATGTGAAATAGACATTAAATGGAAAGAAATTGTTTAAATTCATCTAAGAGTTTAAGAATGTTTTTTAAACATTCATGTAGGTGGGATTAGTAAAATTAACTCTTGTTAAAGTGCTGAGGGCAGTTTTTTCCTTTAAGATCTGAGATTATCAAAGACCTTTCATTTTGACTAACAGGACTGAAATTTATGTTTTTTCCCTTGCTACAGGATTCCTACTACTGGAGAAAATCCAAAACATCGTTCATGGCATACTTTAACCCCAATAGCTGATGATAAGCTTTTCTTATTTGGTGGACTAAGTGCAGAGAATATTCCATTAAGTAAGTCAATTAACGTTTAGCCTGTAATTATTATCTCATTGTTTTTTCTTTAATTGCATTTGATACTTAAAGTGTCTTCTTTTTTCCTTTCCTTCTGATTTTCTGGTTTACCTTTATTCCAGTTATAGGCTTGAATTAAGACGTAGAAGTAGAAGGCCTCTTTGCTTTTGTACCCTTGGCTCTCCATGTTCTCCTGTTTCCTAGGTATAGAGAAAAGGAAGGGTGGTTGAACCTAGATGAATTAAAGTCCCTTTCAACTATCATATTCTGTGATTCTGTGTTCTCCTGATTTTTGGTCCAGACACTTATACTGTAGGCTGGAATGGGAATTAGAAGAAAAGCCTTTCGCAGAAGGCTCTGGAAATATAAGGTGGGAAGGCCAGTTGCTTCTTCTTCTTCTTCTTTTTTTTTTTCTCCAGAACTATAAGGAACGTGCTTAGCTAGAAGTTTTAAACTCTTATCACTTCTGATTCCACGGCTGTGGGTTTTGTACTGCAGTTTTCTTTTAGCAGTAGCATTGTGGCATCAGGATAGTTAAATGACCAAGAATACTCACTTTTTAGTTTGACATATTGGATGTTTTGTGTTTTTTTAACCCAGAAGTTTTCTGTGGCTAGAGATATTTTCATTAAGAACCCTTATATATCATTAAAGGCATTTATATAATTTTATATAGCATGTAGAAGCAACTTTATTTTTCAACAAAAATTTATTGAGTAACAAAACGGTGCATCTGGCAGTTGGCTGGAGACTAAACAAACATACAAACTCCAGAGGCTTCCCTGGTTGGAGAAAGAGCAGCTCCTATTAGGGGGATAGATTATTTATTCTTAAAGATTATTATACTTCTCCAATTTGTGGGATATTTTAATTAAAAGAAATTTGGAATCTAACCAAAAACTAAAATCTGTACATTTCACTGGGGGGTGTTTAATATCTTCATGACTTCTAGTGTTATTATCTGTTTATTATGGTAAAATTTCACAAATAAAATTTGCCATTTTAACCATTTTCAAGTATACAATTAATCCAGTGACATTAATTACACTCACAGTGTTGTACAACCATTATAGCTATTTGCTTCCAAAACTGTTTATCACCCCAAATAGAAACTCTGTACCCAGTAAGCAATAACTCCCCATTCTCCCTTCTCCACAGCCCATGGTAACCACTAATCTACTTTTATCTCTATGCATTTGCCTATTCTAGATACTTTATATAAGTAGAATCATGTAATATTATCTTTTTGTGTCTGGCTTATTTCACTTAATGTAATATTTTCAAGGTTCATCCATGTTGTAGCATGTATTAGAACTTCGTTTCTTTTTATGGCTGAATAATATCCCATAAATTTGTTTATCCATTCATCTGTTGATGGACACTTGGGTTGTTTCTGCCTCTTGGCTATTGTGAATAATGCTGCATTGAACATTGGTGTACAAGTATCTGTTTGAGTCCCTGCTTTCAGTTCTTTTGGGTACATACCAGGAGTGGAATTGCTGGGTCATATGGTGGCACAGTGGTTAAGAGCTCATCTGCTAACCAAAAGATCAGTTTGAATCCACCAGCTGCTCCTTGGAAACCCCATGGGGCAGTTCTACTCTGTTCTGTGGGGTCCCTATAAGTCGGAATCAATCAATGGCAACTTTTTTTTTTTTTAATGGTAATTCTATGTTTAACTTTTTAAGGGGCCACCAAACTATAGGTGTAGTGTTTTTAAGTCCTATTTGCTGTTTTGGTCATTGACTTATGGGAAATTAAATTTCCTAACTCTTAATCCAGTCAGTTTTCTGTTACAACATGTTGCCATCGAGTCAATTCATAGCAACTTTGTAGGACAGAGTAGAACTGCTCCATACGGTTTCCAAGGAGTGGCTGGTGGATTTAAGCTCTTGACCTTTTGGTTAGTGGCTGTAGCATGCTGTAGCTCTTAACCACCGCGCCACCAGGGCCTCATAGAAGATTCAATTTAACATGTAGTCATATGGGTATTAGATGATACCAAGAAATTATTTCTAGTTTTGTTGACTATGATAATGACATTGTGGTTATATGATAATGGCATTGTGGTTATATAAAAAATGTCTACACTTTTTAGTGATGCATACTGAAGTATGTACGGGAGAAATGATAGAAGATTTGCTTTAGAATAATTCAGCAACAAGACTAACAAAAGGGGATAAATGGAGTATGTGTGGCAAAATCTTGATAGTTGTTGAATCTAGGATATGTAGGCATCCATTGTCATGTTCACTCTACTTTTGTATATATGTTTAAAAATTTTTATGGTAAAATATACACACTCACAAAAGATAGTTGTATAGCTATAGCATGGTAAATTTGAAAAACAATTAAAATTTTATCCCAAAGACGTAATCTTAATTTCTGATCTGTCATAATATTGCAGGTGATGGTTGGATTCATAATGTCATGACAAATTGTTGGAAACAACTTACACATTTACCTAAAACAAGACCCAGGTAGGTCTACTAGTTGACAAATAGTAAAATAGTTAAGAATTTTAAACTATTAAAATACAGTACTGAATTTATAGTGTTTGTCATTAAAACCATAAACCATCAGGAAGGATATCTTTCCAGTAAGCGTGATATTACCTGAAGAATTAATTTAATTATTATTTTAATTATATATGATTGTTAGACATTATTAATCTTTTTTTAACCATATTTTCATATGCATATGCATGTCATAATACACATTTGAAAATGTTCTTTTAGATACATATATAATCTTGCGTGATAAATTTTTAAAAGCTAGAATAATTAAAAATATAATGTTAATATATGTAATAATTAGATAAGAATGGAGGTTGGTTTTAGTAGTATTATTTTTCAAAGTAATTTCAAGCAAATCAATAAGGAAATCTGCTTTTATGTTGATATAGTAGATAGTAGATTATTTATCTAAATTAACTATATGATCTGTTCATTAATGTGAATTTTTAAAAAATGTTATTTGTGGTATACAGTAGGGTAAAATTTATGGAAATAATATAGTAATATTAGACTACAAAGATAACCACATTAGTATTGTAATTCTTACTTTTTTCTAATTTGAATAGTATAATAAAGATATTTGCATAGGAAATTCAAATTCAGTACATTATAATTAGTAATAGATTTTATTATTTTTCATGCCATGTATTTCAGATTTTTTTTTTACTGCAGGTTGTTTATACTAGTGTGAAGTCAATTTAATGATATGTATTTTTATTATTTAATAAATGACCATTGAGTAACTTAATTGAGAAAAAGGCCTAAAAATATTTAAGCTATATATCTAAGTGTGTATATTTATATTAATATGCACACCACATGAATAATTTATCATAATTAAGTATGTAGTTTTGTATTTTCATGTATAAAAATTTATTAGAATGTATTATTTTGACAGTTCTTGATCTTCTGAAATATATATTTTTTAATTTGAAGAGTTTTATCCTAACATATGGGAGCTCAGAGTTCTAGTCCTTGCTCCACTATATGAAGTTGAGCATCAATTTCTTCATCTGTGAGATGAGGGAGTTTGACTACATAAACTCTTAGGTTTCTCCCATTTCTTTGATTGTATGAATGCACTAATTATAGACCAAAGTGATAGTAAAAGTGTTTTATTTTTAAATTGTTCCTGTTTTATATTTCAACCTTTAATGAGTCATTAGAGCAACACAACTATTATCAATAATATACTAGTTAGAAAAGCTATGTAAAGAGATTTATTTTAATTCAGCTGATGTGTCATGTAAATAATATGCTTTATTAGAATGTTTAGGTGTAAGTTTAGAGCAGCTGTGAGAGGACATAAACTATCAGTCTGTAGAAAAAAACATCAGGTTGCAAGCTAGATGTCACCAAAATCAAGTCAGGAAAGGCTTTCCAGTGTTCTTCGATGATGAAGTCCAGGCCAGACTTTCCCTAAGGCAGATAAGACAGAGGCAGATCTATCTTCAGGTATGAGGTGAGGAGGAGAACAGGTGGGATACAGTTTAGTGTAAGGAGAATATATATATACTATATATATATATGTACACTAATCTTTAAAAATGAAAGTGACAACTTAGTTTTTGTGCAAACTTTTTCAAGTTACAATTTGAAATGTAAACTGCCCAATTCTCCTCTTATAACAGGGTTTCTCAACCTCAGCATTACTGACATTTTAGACCAAATAATTCTTTGTTGTTAAGGATGTCCCATGCATTGCGGGATGTTTAACAGCCTCCCTGGCCTTTACCCACTAGCTGCCTCTAACCCCCCCACAGTTGTGACAGCCAGAAAGGTGTCCAGATATCCTCAGATGCCCCCCCCGCCGGTTGAGAATCGCTGTTGTACAGTGCAGCACTCTTCTCTAGGTCTCACCTTAGATAAAAACTATGTTCAGGTAAATAGCCATCTTTTTTTTCCAGATATAGTCATATCTGAAAGCCTTGCTTTCAGCAAGGACCCTTTTTTTTATGTCTGTAAAAGATGTCCGATAAAGTGTTAGTATATAGAGCTTTAGGTACTGTTGGATCCCATGAGTACTGTCAAGGTTACACATGGCCTTTTCTCCAAGAAGTTAAACTATCCTTTCCCATATATGAGGGGACCTGGTGGCACAGTGGTTAAGTGTTTGGCTATTAACCAAAAAGTCAGCGGTTTGAATCCACCAGCCACTCCTTGGAAACCATGTGGGGCAGTTCTGCTCTATCCTATAGGGTCGCTCTGAGTCAGAATTGACTCAGCGGCAAAGGATCCCATATATGAGGCCATTATCTGTATTCTGTGTCCTTTTCCCAGTCCTTCTTCCAATCCTCACCCCCAGCCCCACAACATAACTCAGTTCTTGCTGAATACTTACATAAATTTATGTTCTAACATATGAATTGGAGAATTGGGCAGAGTATTTCCCAAACAAAATCTCTAATGACTCAGTTCTAGCCTGGGTCCCAAGTACATTTGCCATTGAATGTGTGCATGACTGTTTGAGGAAGGTATTTGGTTTAACAAATCGGGCATGATCCCTCTGTTTGCACTTGTAGAAGTTAAGTAAAAAGGATTAATGTACTAAAAATCAGTTATGTGGTAATAGAATAAGTGATATATGTGATTGTTTTGTGTATCTCTTGCTTCAGCAATTTTGTCTACTATAAAAAGTAATCAAAGTACTCTCAGAATCAAAGCCATAAACTTTGTAAAATCCTTACTTTATCCTCTAAAATTGAGAAAATATACATGTACTTTTTTCTGAGAGTTAGAGCTTTCTGAAGTATTGAACTTTATAAAATCATAAAATTGCTCTTGGTAAACAAAGAAAATTGTAGATGCATATGAGGTATCATATCACTTCCAAAAGAACATTTAATGCTCCACTCTTTTATGAAATAATTTGTATATTTAACCACTGAATAAATTATGTTGATATTCTGTGCTTGCTTTTGTTAATCAAAACTTTTTGAGCACCTCCTGGGTGCAGAACACCATATTAAGTATTTTTGAGGAGAAGCATAAAATTACATTACTAAGTTCCCGTGCTGTGCTGGCAAATGGTTAACAACCTACTTTCGAAAAAAAAAGGGAGTGGGATGGGAACTCTATTTATAGCATTATATTCCCACCATGGCCAATTTCAAGCTGCCAACATGATATCACTGAACATGGAGTTGGCTTCAGCCAGCCGGTGAGCCGGTTCTAGCACACCACTCTGGCAATTTCTGACCTCAAGAGAGCTAGAAGACACACATAGCAAACAAAGTAGTATACAGAGCAGTTTATCTTCAAATGTAAGTTAGGAGAGTATAAAATGAGCACATGAATGTTGAAAGGGTGCTAAGGAGAGATGTTAACAGAGCCAGCTTTCATGTGTATTTGGAACACTCCCTGGAGGGTTTTTAAGGCCCTCAGAGAATGACATATTCTAAGCATAAGAAACAGGGTGAATCACGAAGCCTAAAAGTAGATATAAGCTTTCTCTCAGGGGAAGCAAATTAATGAACTTGACTGAAGTAGAGGATTCATTTGGGGAGAGGCAAGAATTAAGATTTGTAGGGAAAAGAACAGCCGTTGATCATAAATATTAGGCTAAGAGCAGAGGCCCTTGGTAACACAGATGCTTCCTGATAAGGAAATTTCCATGATCAAGAACAATATTTGAAAAATATTATTTATTAGCTATAAGAAGCTAGGAGAGATCAGAGACAGAAAAAACTAGAAACATATGGTATTCTGTACCCAGGGTGATGAGTAGTGTGAAAATGTAAATGTAAAGGGAGTACCAGTTGTATTTTTCAGGTGATGGAGAACAGAAAGCAGGGAAAAAGGAGTCACAATGATGAGAACAGTAACATCAAAGATAGTAATAAAAAATCAGGAAAAGGGCCTGTTTCAGCAGTAGGCTGATCAGTTCCTTTTTAAACATGAATATTTCAGTGATAATATCTATGAGATAAAGGGATTAGAAGAAGGTTGAGGGGGAGGAGTATAATAGAGCAATTGGGAGTTGTCTCCTTAATTGAAGCAATATGATTTAATAAACTCTAGAGGAATCATTAAACTCTAAACCCCTTTGAGGATAGGCCAAAGGTTTGAGTTTGATGATGACTCTTTGAAATAGATTGAATTTTAGAGTATACAATTTCAAATTGATTTATATGTAATATACAGTTCTTCCTTGATAATAATTTAACTCTGTTTATAATTTTCAATCATAGGTTATGGCACACAGCCTGTTTGGGAAAAGAAAATGAAATAATGGTATTTGGTGGGAGCAAAGATGATTTACTTTCCTTGGATACAGTAAGAAAATACTTTATCTAAATATTTCATTTGCATAATTGTGTTATTCAAACAAAACGGCTGTTCAACAAGAATGTTGATATGCTAACATTGCAAAATATTGAAGTAATAAAATGTTACTGAGGTAGGATTAATTTCAGAATGTGAGGCTTTTGTGAAGCATCTCAGGATATCTTGTATTTACAAATCAAAATAAGTCTCTTAATTTCATTAGCCAAATTAAGAAGAGGTTTTAAAGAATGGCTCTTCCTTCTCTTCTTTCCTTCCCTTTCTCTTCTCTTCTTTTTGAACCTTACCATAATATTTGATTGAATTAAAATGTTCATATATAATATTTGATGTATAAAATATATATAATGTAGATGTAAACTACTAAGCATAATACTAAAACAATTACCCATGAAACATGCTTCCCAATTTAGATCTAGAACACTACCAATATTGTTGAAGCTACTTGCTTATTTCTTCTGACTCTTACCCAATAGCTTTTCTCCTCAAGAGGAAGCTACTTTATTGAAATTTTAAAAATGCGTTTTCTTTTTATTTTGTGCTGCTTTTGCCACTGTTTCACCCAGTTGTTTTACATTTGAGTTGTTTAAAGCATTCTAACTTTAAAATCTGTTAAAACCAAGGTCAAAGGAATAAATGAGTAGCATTCGAAGAGTATTGTTCTTTCACTCCTAGGACCTTGGGAAATTCACAACAGGGTGGTCACACTAATACCCCATCTGAGTTCAGGTTTAATTCATCTGGTTTGGGAAAAGCAGGAAGGACTCAGCCGGCAGGGATGAGGGACAAGCGAGAATCTGGCAAGAGGGTACCAGCTCCCTCTCATCTCTTCAGGCACAGTTATCACCAGAGTAGCACTTGTGGGGAAACCCTGGCGACATACTGGTTAAGAGCTACAGCTGCTGACCAAGAGGTGGACAGTTTGAATCCACCAGGCGCTCCTTGGAAACAGTATGGGGCAGTTCTACTCTGTCCTATAGGGTCGCTATGAGTTGGAATCCACTCAACGGCAACGGGTTTGGTTTTTTTTTTTTTTAGCGCCTATAGAGTGGTGAACTCTGAAATAAAGTGGCTTCTCTTCAGGGAATTTGGTTTATTTTGTAGTTCTGGGGCCTCCAATTTAAATGTTTTCAGTTATGTACAGGTAGTCCTCAGGTTACAAATGTCTGACTTACCTACAACCCATAGTTATGAACCAACCACCGTAAAGTCTATTATATTAAAAATTCAAGGTAATACAGTGGTTCATAATAACAAACGGCCCCTACTTTGCAACACGCATCAAAACATTATTATTATCACTATTATTATGCTAAAGATGTTTTAATGTATCTGGAAGTGTTTCTTTAATGTTTTTTATGCATAGAAAAGTAAACTATATGCTGTATAGTAAGACAAACATTTGACTAACTGATGTTAGATGTGAACTGTACCTAACTGTTCTAACTTACACACAAATTCGACTTGAAGAGATTTAGGAACGGAATTTGTTTGTAATCCAGGGACTGCCTGTATATCAGAAGTTTTAGAACTTTCTTTGGCTGGGTATTCAGTGTGTCAAGAAAAGCTTAACCACAACTTTGCATTTAATTAGAAGCAGATTTTATGGTTTGTCTTCTCTTTCTTGGCACTAGAAATCTTTATTTAGGATTGAAAGTTTATTATTAAAACAGAAATTCTAAATAAAATCATGATTATAAATTATAAAATTCTAAAGACCTATTTGAAAGGATTAGAGAAAATTTCTGCTGACTGTTTACCACATTAACTTTTAGATGAGAGAATCATTATTCAAAAAATCTCCCAGGTCTATTATTTTTAAATTAAAAATTCCCAGAAATCCTAGGACCACCTGAGAAAGGGAGGCAGAATAAAGAAGATATTTTTAAATAAAAGTTATATGGAAGAAAAAGTTCTGCTTAAAAACAAAAAAGTTTGAAAACTACTACTGTTATCATTTTGAACTTACTGTTCTAAAAGAAAAACATGTTTCTAAATTTGCAATTATATAGACTATGCTTGGGTAAAAATTTGGTCACTGGATGTGTGTGTGTGTGTGTTTGTAAGAGTAGCTAGAGAGAGAGATTTATTTGCTATTTTATGTAATTTTAAATTTATAAAATAAAAATTTTAATAATGTACTGTGATCTTTATCAAAAAGTCTGATATAGCCTTTAATATTCTATTTTCTTTGTTGATTAGGGTCACTGTAATGATTTATTGATCTTTCAAACACAGCCTTATTCACTACTCAGGTAAGCAAATTCAGTATTTCTACATATAAATAGTATTATTATGATAATTTCTTTCTTCTGTCTTTTTGGAAAAATTATGTTTTTCAGTTAGTTTATGACTTGAATTTTGGAAAATATTTACATCTTTCTAAAGGTATAATCAAATTTGTAACGGTGAACCATACACCAATGTAATTAAAAAAATTAAAATATACAGTACAGTCACATCTTTGTAAACTGCACTTAATGCATATGATGATAGAAAATATAAAATGTATTTCCTTCATTCTAAGCCTCACTTTTTTCACATTTTAACTTTTCTGAATTCAGAATGTGTCTAATAAAGATGTGTGTGTATGCAAACATACATGTTTACATACATTTAATGTGGTAGTTTCTTTTAACTCCAACGCTGTTGTTAAATTGATGGCATGACTCACACTGTCTTAGTGTGTATACTCTTGCTCTCAAAGGAGTATATACAGAGTTGAATGGGAGGATTGTTGAAGCCTCTATTTCTTCCTTTTTTTTAAAAAAAATATTATTGTGCTTTAGATGAAAGTTTACAGAGCAAATTAGTTTCTCGTTCAAAATTTATACACAGATTGTTTTTTGACATTGGTTGCAATCCTCACATTGTATCAGCGCTCTCCCCCTTTCTACCCCGGATTCCTTGTTGCCGTTCATCCAGTTCTCCTGTCCCTTCCTGCCTTGTCTTTGTTTTTGGGTATAAAAACAGCACGGGGGTGGTGTCTGACCTCCTCTAACTTCACAAGGGGGAAGGAGAATCAAGATCAACAGCCCAAGGCTGATTCCTATGAGGTGGGGGTCAGACATGCCTCCTTTGTCCACCATCTTCACCAATTCTGACACCAACTGTCCCTCCCGCGGCTCTGCTGGTTCAATAATCCATTGCAGTGGCCACACAGAACTCGAAGACAATACTCACGATTATGGGGTTTATTAGGGAAGGAACAGGTTCCAATTGAGGCTCAGGAACACTCAGGATACAGATACAGTTCTTCCATCAGCATAGCCTCTTTTCAGCTCTGCTTTCAGGCACACCTCTCTCTGGCCCTAGGCCTCTGCCCTCTTCAGGCAAGTGTTACAAAGCTCTTTTAGTCCCTGCTAGTAAGTCTCCAGAGGCACCCCAAGCACTCTCTTACTCTGTGGGCAGGAAAGCCCACTGCACTGTTTCCTGCCAGTCTCTCCTGCCACTGCTTCTTGCTGTCTTCAGGGTTACAGCTTGCTGTCTGTCTCCTGGTTGCAGGAGCTTCTCAGCATAGGGATCCCAGGTCCAAAAGACATGCTCTCCACTCCTGGCTGTTCTTCCTTGGTAGTGGTAGGATCCTCTCTTTCCTGCCTCTGGGATGGTTCAGCTAGATGGCAAAACTGACCAGTCCCCTTGGTGGGCCACAATTACCCTATTTGCACAGTTGCACCCAATCACGTGGGTGGGAGTTACAAGACCGTGGCGAGAAAGGCCACACAAAAGCAAACCATTGCACTACAGCAGGTGTTGCCCATTTGGTCTTGTATACTTACAGTAAGAAGCACGTTCCTCACTTGTGTTATTGTTTGTTTTATAGGCCTGTCTAATCTTTGGCTGAAAGGTAAACTTTGGGAGTGGCTTCAGTTCTGAGTTAGTAGGGTTTCTGGGGGCCATAGTCTCAGAGGTTCTTCCAGTCTCTGTCAGCTCAGTAAGTCTGGTCTTGTGTGTGTGTGTGTGTGTGTGAATTTGAATTTTGTTCTACATTTTTCTCTCACTCTGTCCAGGACCCTCTATTTCATTCCCTGTCAGAGCAGTCGGTGGTAGTAGCCAGCCAGGCACCATCTAGTTCTTCTGAGCTCAGGCTAGTGGTTAGTCCTTTGGACTAATATTTTCCTTGTGTCTTTGGTTTTCTTCATTCTCCTATGTTCTGGATGGGATGAGACTAATAAATGTATCTTACATGACTACTTTTAAGCTTTTAAGACCCCAGATGCTACTCACCAAAGTAGGATATAGAACATTTTCTTTATGAACTATGTTATGCCAATTGACCTAGATGTCCCCTGAGAGCATGGTCCCCAGCCCTCAGCCCCAGTAACTTGGTCCTTCAGGGTGTTTGGATGCGTCTAGGAAGCGTCTGTGACTTTGCCTTGGTCAAGTTATGCTGATTTCCCCTATATTATGTATTGTCTTTCCCTTCACCAAAGTTAAAAGAAGACCCTATTTCTGCCTGTGACAAATGAAAGGAAGAATTTGAGCCAGGTGGAAGTTGCCCAGTGAACAAGTGTGGGTATTCCATGCAGTGGACATAACATGGGTGAAGCATGTGAAAGAAAGTGAGAAAGAGAGACAGAAAGAGGAGAAAGAGATGGCATGCTGTATTTCAAGGAGGATACTCTTAACTTCCGGATGTTCTACAATTTGAACCACTTGAAAACCATTCAGCTTTCTCAGACTGCATCTTCTTGAAGTCTTTCCTAACTGCTCTTCCTTATAGTGAAGTGCCTCCCAAACTTGTCTCCACATTAGCATCTCATGTAGAGCTTCAAAAAATATTGCTGCTTGTGTCTCACCCCAAAGATTGTGATTTAATGGGTCTAGGGTGTGGCCTGGCCTTCAGAGATTTGAAAAGATCCTGAGGTGATTCTAATGTGCAAACAAGTATGGGAACTACTGCTGTAATGATTTACCCCTTTTTTAAAAAAATTGTAATATACATACACCACCACATACAACATTTCATCAATTTCTACATGTACTGTTAAGTGACATTCTTCAAGTTGTGCAACCATTTTTACTGTTTTTCCAAACTATCCCACCACCATTAACTACCTTCAGTGCACTCAAAGCAGAAATTTCCTCTTTGCCCCTCCCTTCTGCCCCTGGTTTCCACTAATTACTTTTGGTTTGTATATACTTACTTATTTCATATAAGTGATATGATACAGTATTTATCCTTTAGTGTCTGACTTCGTTCGGCATAATGTCCTCAAGGTTTATCCATGTTCTGGCATGCATCAGGACTTCATTCCTCTTTATGGCTGAGTAATATGCCATTGTTATGTATATACCACGTTTTGTTTATCCATTCTTCAGCTGATGGACATTTTGGTTGTTTCCACCTTTTGGCTATTGTGAATAGCGCTGCAGTGAACATTGGTGTATGTATGTCTGTTTGCGTAGCTGCTTTCAGTCATTTGGGTATATACCTAGGAGTGGAATTGTTGGGTCATATGGTAGTTCTATGTCTAACTTTTTGAGGACCTGCCAAACTATTTTCCGCAGTGGCTATACCATTTTGCATTCCCACCAGCAGTGGATGAGGGTTGTTTCTGTATAGCATCACTAACACCTAGTGTTTTCTGTTTTTGGAGCATTACTGTTTTTATGGAGGTGAAATGGTATCTCAGATTTATTCCTCCTTTGAACTTATTATGATGGGATTTATGCTTTGAACCTCTGCCAGCCTCCTGTTTGGCTCTGCCAGCCTCGTTTTTGGCACTGAATCATACACTGTCTTGTATTGTTACTTAACTTTTACTGTGAACATAACTAGTTTCCATAACTAGCTTGCAGTTTCCTCATATGTAGGGATTAAGAAATATCTTAGTGCCTACTGTATTAGTTTTTTTAAGGCTGCTTTAACAAAATACCACAAACTGGGTGACTTATAAGAACAGAAATGTATTGCCTCACAGTTCTGGAGGCTAGTAGTCCAAATCGTGTGTGGGCCTAAGCCTGCTCCCTCCCAAGTCCCTAAGGGGAAGATCCTTTTTTGTCTCTCCCAGCTTCTGCACAGTGGTTAAGAGCTTGGCTGCTAACCAAAAGGTTGGCAGTTTGAATCCACCAGCCGCTCCTTGGAAACCCTATGGGGCAGTTCTACTCTGAGTCAGAATTGACTACAGCAGTGGGTTTGGGGTTTTCAGCTTCTGGTAGCCCCAGGCATTCCTTAGCTTGTAGATCCATCTTCACTTGGCCATCCTTCCTCTATCTCTGTATCTCTTCTTCCCTTTTATAAGGACACCACTCAGATTGGATTAGCATCCACCATCCTCCAGTATGCCCTCATGTTAATGTAACTGATAACATCTAGAAAGACTGTATTTCCAAAGGTCACGTTTACAGGTACCAGGCGTTAGAACTTCAAGATATCTTTTTGGGGACACAGTTCAATTTGTAACACCTGCCATGGGTAGGCATTGTGCTATGAAATGAAAAGTCATGCACTCCTGAGTATGTACCCCAAAAGAATTGAAAGCAGGGACTCAAACAGATACTTAGACACCAGTGTTCACTGCAGCATTATTCACAATAGCCAAAAGGTGGAAATAACCCAAGTGTCTATCAACAGATGAATGGATAAACAAAATGTAGCATACACATGCATGGGATATTATTCAGCCATAAAAAGAAGTAAAGTTCTGATACGTGCTACAACATGAAAGAACCTTGAAAACATTATGCTAAGTGAAATAAACCAGACAGAAAGGCTAAATATTGTATTATCCCACTTAAATGAAATATCTGGAATAGGCAAATGCATAGACACAGAAGTAGATTAGTGGTCACCATGGTGGGGGCTGCTTAGTGAGTACAGAGTATCTTTCTGGAGTGATGAAAGATTTTGAAAATAGATAGTGATGGTTGCACAGCATTGTGAATGTAATTAATGCCACTGAATTGTGCACTGAAAAATGGTTAAAATGGCCAGTTTTAATATATATTTTACCTGTTGCCATCGAGTCAGTTCCAACTCATAGCAATCCTATAGGACAAAATAGAACTACCTCATAGCGTTTCCAATGTTGTATTCTTTATGGAAGCAGACTGCCACATCTTTCTCCCACAAATGTATATTCTACCACAAAAAAAATTGGAGGGGCCTTATTACTTAGAGAACCAGGAAGAGTCAGAGGAGTAAGGGAGTGTAAGAATTAAAAGAATAAGAGGTTTATGGTTCAAAAGGAGGATATTGGAGTTTGAGAATCTGGAGTTGGAACTGTCCTGATTAGCAAGGCCAGGGTGCGACCATGAGCATTACTAGAATGGAGATGAGATCATAAAGAGTGAAAAGGGTTTTCCACCTGGATGCTAAAAATCAGTAAGAAAAGAAAACTGGTGAATCAGGGCCAATGACTAGGGGAAAATGAGCAGGAGATTGGTAGACGGCAGCACTGGAAGGTGAAACCTTAGTAGCCTGGGAGCAGCAGTGAGGATCTAGGAGAATATTGACATTGGCTCTTTGCCCATGAAACTGGAGATGAAGGAAAATTCATACTATTTTCTCAAGAAGGCTATAGGCAAAGAAATTTTCTTAGATTTCAATTAAAGCAAAGACAAAGTCAGAGGAAGCAGAAGTGTTTGTAGACTGTACAACTGGTGTTCCAGACAGCACAATGGTTAAGTTTGGAAGGGAAAATAAGTGTAATGGGGAAGGTAAACTAGCATAGTAATGAGAGAAAGTGGAAGAACAAATGACTGGGTGGGCTTGCATTTGTAGCTGGGACTAAGGGTGACCATCAGTGTTAAGCTTTTTTGTATTACCACGTGTATCTACTATAGTGTTTTCTGTCCATGGGTACGTGCATCAAAACGTGAATATAGCAGAAATTCAGTAGCATTTGTTGGGTGAGGCATGACTGCCACAATCAGTTGTCCACGTTGCAGCTAGAGCAATTTTTATTTTAAATTTTAATTCAGAAGTAATTTAGCACATACTATGTTGAGAAACTGGGAGAAAATGAAGATGAATAGAACGTGGTTCCTCTTCTCAAAGAGCTAGTATGATCTGATGGACTTGTGGGATCATGCCCATCATACTTTTGGATATATATGTATATATTTTTAAAAGGAATGAAGTTATTATTTATTCTGCGAGAAATGTTTACCAAGAAAAATGTATACAATGTGAAACGTATGTTAAAAATCACCCATGAACCATCGTGTACAACGATCACTGTTAACAGTTTAGTGTGTATCCTTTAAAATGAAAAACATTGTAGATTTAACCACTCTAAGAAGTCATTGGAAACCTTGGTGAGAGCAGTATACGTATACGTATGTGTGTGAGTGTGTATAAAGGGTCAATTTTTGCACGCTGTTTTGGAATCTGCTTTTAAAACTCATAGATATCTTTCAGTGTAATAGAGGTATATTTATGTTTGTAATGGTGTAAAAATGGCTTGGGGGTGGTGTCGTGACCTCCTTCAACCCCACAAGGGAGAAGGAGAACCAGGATCAACAGCCCAAGGCTGACTCCCATGAGGTGGAGGCCAGACAAGCCTCCTCTTCCACCATCTTGACTAATTCTGACACCAGTGGTCCCTGGCATAGCACTGTCTACTTCTCTGCTAGGTTCGATAATTCATTGCAATGGCCACACAGAACTGACAGACAATACTCACAGTAATGGGGTTTATTAGGGAAATAACAGTTACAATTCAGGCTCAGGAACACTTAGGATACAGATCTTCCATCAAGACAGTCTCTTCCCAGCTGTACTCATAGCCACACCTCTCCCTGGCCCTAGGCCTCTCCCCATAGGCACTTAGCTTTCTCTCTCCGTGGCCCGGGAAGCTCGCCATGCTGTGTCCTGCTGCTGGGTCTCTCCTGCCACTGCTTCTCACCGTCTTCAGGGTTACAGCTTTCTCTCTCTCTCTGTCTCTCTGGTAGTGCAGGCTCTGAGGACTCAGCTTGAACTGGAAAGTTTCCTGTGACTTGCCAAGGTTGACTTGGTTATTCTTCCCCTGTGATTCTCATAAACACTTCACTGTTGGCGTCTGACTCTTCTCTTAACCCATTATGGAAGAGGCACAAGAGCTGTTTTGTCACCATAGCAACAGAATTAAATTTGCACCAGATAAAAGATTCATTATCATTTTCTTGTACTTCTGCATCTAGGTAGAAGATTTTTGCTCTAACTTCTTATTCAGAGTTGTCACAGAGACGAGAGAAAAGGCTTCATGAAAGTATAGAAGAAGATGTAAATCTCTAGAGTGCAAATTCTTCTAAAAACGGTTGCTGCTGTCAGGTGTTGTGAAGTTGGTTCCAACTCACAGCCACCCTGTGTCCAACAGAACGAAACACTGCTGGGTCCTGCGCCATCCTCACAGTTGTTGCTATATTTGAGCCCATTGTTGGAGCCACTGTGTCAGTCAGCTTATTGAGGGTCTTCCTGTCTTTTGCTGACCCTCTACTAAGATTAATCATAGCAGAATCAAATGAGTCTATTAAAAACTTTTAAAAAGATTTACTTTTTTTTAAATTGTACTTTAGATGAAGGTTTACAGAACAAAGTAGTAGTTTCTCATTAAACAGTTAGTACACATACTGTTTTATGACATTGGTTAACAACCCCGTGACATGTCAGCACTCTCCCTTCTCGAATTTGGGTTCCCTATTACCAGCTTTCCTGTTCCCTCCTGCCTTCTAGTCCTTGCCCCTGGGCTGGTGTGCCCCTTGTCTTGTTTTGTCCTATGGGCCTGTCTATCTTTTGCTGACGAGTGAGCCTCAGGAGTGAGCTAAAAGGGTGTCCAGGGACCATACTCTCAGGGTTTCACCAGTTTCTGTCAGGTCAGTAAATCTGGTCTTTTTTTCAGTTAGAATTTTGTTCTGCATTTTTCTGCAGCACTGTCTGGGACCCTCTGTTGTGATCCCTGTCAGAGCAGTTGGTGGTAGCCGGGCACCATCTAGTTGTACTGGACTCAGTCTGGTGGAGGCCTTGGTAGTTGTGTATTTACTTACCTTTTTGAATTAAATCATTATCAGTTGAAATAGATGCTTTTCTTTGATAGTTCTTATCTTAATCAAGATTCTTTTGGTTTTAAGTTACAAAACTCTCTCCTCAAACTAGTTCAAGATTTAAAAAGGGAATTTTATTTGGAAGGATACTGCCTTCTAATGGAATCCAAAGGGGAAAAAATGAACACCCAGGACCCCAGAGGGTAGAAACCCAAGTAGTTTCTTGGTTCTTTCTGTATTGCTGCTTCATTTCTCTCTTCAGACCTCCTCTTTCTTTGTCAGCTTAAGTCCAGTGTGCACCCCAGTGCAGTAATTTATGGAGGGGAGATGGGGAAGACCAGGTCACATGGCATAAAAGTGGGTATTAGGGGCCTCATTTTGGGCTGCTGGGAGAAGGAAAGACAATTCTCAGAGAAGGATAAATGGGCTGGAAAGATACTTTAAAAAGGGTCTGCCACAGAATAATCTGCCTTGATATTAAATCTGTATATTTTTTACTTAAAGAACATTTGCATGGTAAGTTACATTATCTGTTTGGTCTCTTTTACTATGAAAATATATATTTGTGGTGCTCTGGGGGAAGAAATTCTAGCATGTTACAAACAATACAAAGGAGGTACAATATCATGTAAAATTTTTGTAAAAATTGTCATTTTGTTTAAAGAATACTTACCTATAAATATTTTACATTGTAGCTTCTGATTCAAAAACTAATAATTATGTTTTGTTTACAGGTCATGCCTTGACTGCATTGGTAAAAATGTTATCATTTTAGAAAGTCAGATATCGTTATTACCTCCTAAGCTTCTGCAACAGGTATTCAAAAAGATTACATTTTGGACTGCAGCTAATCACCGAGAAGAACAAAGAGCCCAAACAGAAGAAACAGAAAATAAGTATCAGTGGATCAGTAGCAACTAAGTTGTTATATACTGTATATATTTAAAATATTTAAACATTGTAGTCAGACTATAAAGTTTACCCCTCCCCCCATTGGAGGCTTTATTTGGAAGACAAAAGAAACAAAAATGCTTTTTTAGAGTGATTATATGGCATGAGATATACGAGAATTAAATATTAACAATGGTACATTAATTTAAATTTATATTTGTAAACCAATTTCCTCTATAAGCTGCAGAGTAGATATTGTTTCTAAAAGTAAGTACAGTTATAGGAGATTTTAACTCAATATGTACACTTTACTGGAAAGATTATTCAAATTTGAGGAGAATAAGAAGTTACCCCCAAGGACTTCAGAAACCTTCCAACATAATTACAGATACATATATAAAAACACTACATATCAACTTTCACAAAGAACACATTTTCTCAGGTCACTTTAAAATCACCTTAAGCTTCTCCTTAAATAATTCAGTGGTTAACACGCTGGCCAAAAATTGTAAAATAGGGAACACCGGTATGGATTAAATACTAACTCCTGCGCTTTTTGCACTTACCTAGTATTCTTAGGCAGCATTTTAATTTTTTTTTTTCAGCCTTATTTCAGTAAGGGAATAAATGTCTGCCATTGCCTGTCCATTACCCCTAAATTCAGTTCCTTTGTCCAAACACACACCGTGATTTAAAGTATATAAAGTTGAGGTTTATTTATAATACATACAGGCTTTGAAATATTGAGAAGCAGTTTATTTATTAATTTTTGAGACATGTTAAAATACATTTTTCCTTTTAAGAAGAGTGCTTCTAAAGTAATTTTCATAAGTAATGAAGTGGGATGGTAACCTAGTAAATTTGACTTTATAAAAACCCTCAAATTGGCCTACTCCATTCTCCAGAGTTGGTGCTCAAGATGCCAGGATGTTGAAATCTGGTTATCTTCCCTTTTATTTTCAGTACTACCATCTACACAAAAACGGAACACTATATTTATCTCTGTATTCCTCAAAGTGGTACTTTTGCCATCGTTAAGATATTTTCTTCATTTTAACACCCTTCCATTGAATTACTAAAAATTCCAGTATACGAAATTATTCTCTACAATATCACCATGCAGGTTATCCTAAAATTTAAAATGGTGGAGAAAATATATTTCTACATTGAAGTATATATAATTTATAATGAAGATTATAGTAATTTGTAGTATGTTCAATCATTAAATTTTAGAGATATATTTTATATATGCATATGCAGTGTGTTTTGAATGTGTAAAGCTACTTAAGTGTTGAAATATTTTGTGCTTACGTTTTATTTACTGTACAAAGTATATAGAATTACTGTTTTCCTTATTTTGTCAGTGTGAACCAGTCATTAGAGGTGATTGTGCAAAAATATTTCAGTGTAAGTTTTCATTTTTTCTTACCATTTTTAGGTAAGTGAATCTCACAAATAATACCCATCTTAGAAGTAATTCTTTAGAACTTCACTGTCAACATTTTACATTTAAGGCAAAAGTATACCAAAACCTATAGTAATGGGTGACATTAAGTGGAATGAACACTTTTTAAAATGACTTCTGGATTATGTGAATGACTTCTCCAGACTCTTAGAAGAGCTCTTCTGTTTTTAAATATTTTGAACATTAAAAGTTGGGTTAGCCTCCTCAATATACCTTCATTTGGGCTTCAAGAAAATTAAAATCTGCTTATTATCTGTGGCACATAAAACTGGTGTTATTCTTATTTGACTTAATATACTGTGCTGCTTCAAAAAGTTAAGTGTCCTGAGGTAGCCCCATAGTAGGAGTGGCAGGGAATGCTGATCTTTTACATCACCTTCCGACCTTGACTTAAACCAGGGCTTCCCTGCTATTAGGAGATGTAGAAATTCAGGGAGTAGACAAAGCCAGTTTTGAAGTTCCATTGGCCAAACAGTATACATTCCTTACTCCTCTAGCTGATGGTTTACTATCAGTTTTTGTGCTGTTGACCTCCACAATATATAAATAAAATTGGCTCTAGGTAAATACATATTGATTCATGAGCCCAGAAATATTTTTGTTTATGGTGCTGAGATTCGGTCCCCTAGAAGCTGTGGCCCCTTAGGATTCTGATGATAGGATGCAGTAGTTAGAAACTTAGGAGACATTAGTGATCATTGTTAAATCTGTAATGTCACAGGAGTCAAGCAATGACCTGATTTAAAGAGGGACTTTTTCGCAAGGATTTTATAAGTACAATATTAGAAAATAGTAGTCAATCTATTCCTAATTCCACTTCTCTCCTATTACCATGGCAGCCCACTCATTCCTGTGACAAATATTTTCTGTGTGTCCTCCCTGTGTCAGGCACTGTACTAGGTACCTGGGATATAGTGGTAAATAAGATAGATGCAGCCCCTGCCATCTTAAAGCAAGGGAGACTAACAATAGACAAATAATAACAATGGTTTTATTAAGTGCTATAGAGAAGTACAAGAGTATGCTAACAGTGTATGACAGGGAGCCTGAAGGGGCCTAGGTGATCTGGAAAGGTTGCCCTGAGGATGAAGGATGAGTTAGACTCCCAGTTCTTCCAGGGAACAGCAAGTTTGAAGGTCCTGGTGTTAAAAGGAGCTCAATGTATTTGAAGAACTGAGAGAATACTAGTGTGGCTGGAGCAAGCAAGAGGCAGCCAGAAATTGAAGCTGGAAGGGTAAGCTGGGGCCAGGCCATGCTGGGCCTTGTACACCTTTATTGTAAGAATTTTCAACTCTTAATCTCAAGAGCAATGAGAGCCAGCTCGAGGTTTTTAAGTAGAAAACGGACTTGATCAGATTTACATTTCTGGTTCACGTAATGGCTAAACCTAATTTAGTATAAATCCATTACACCAGGAAAGGACACTACTGCAAGGAATCCTTGTGAGCCACGAGGAAACAGACTTAGGGCAGCAACCAGGCTGGGTAGCAAGTAAGGTCTCAACAGCTACTAGTTGATTTCCTTCTTGGAGGCTTAAACTAATCCTCTTGAATAACACTCTTCTCTTCAGTTCAAGTAAACACACAGGAAGAGGTCAGGGAAGGAATTTCAGGCTCTGTGAAAATTTTAGTGAGGAAAGCCTAATTCTCTAACGCAGTGGTACCTGGGTAAAGACGAAGGAGAGATTAACATTCTTCCCACCAAACACCAAATTACAGAAGCACCATTAGATTAGGGATTTAAAACATATTCTAATCTAATCCTATTTTACACATGAGGAATCAACTTTAGATTACAATAATTCTTAATTTTCTTTTGGCCTACTTAAAGTTATATAAAATGAGAGGGAAAACAGGCTGTGTGTGTGTGGACAGGATTCGCCTCCCTCCCTGAAGGGCTGGGAGGTTACTGTTTCTAAAACGCTTTTTGAGCACAATTCAACCAGGTAGGTGGAGGATGCAGCAGTAAAATAAAATCTCTCTGAGAGTTTGAAAGCATTCCCCTTGAGAATGGGAACCAGACAAGGATGCCCTTTATTACCACTATTATTCAACATTGTGCTGGACGTCCTAGCCAGAGCAGTTAGGCTAGAAAAAGAAAGGGCATCCAGATTGGTCAGGAAGAAGTCAAAGTATGTCTATTTGCAGGTGATATGATCTTATACACAGAAAACCCCAAAGAATCCACAAGAAAACTACTGGAACTAATAGAAGATTTCAGCAAAGTATCAGGATCCAAGACAAACATATAAAAATCCATTGGATTCCTCTACACCCACGGAGAGAACTTGGAAGAGGAAATCACAATCAATACCATTTACAGTAGCCCCCAAGAAGATAAAATACTTAGGGATAAATCTAACCAGAGATGTAAAAGACCTATACAATGAGAACAAGACACTATTGCAAGAAACCAAAAGAGACCTGCATAAGTAGAAAAACATACCTTGCTCATGGATAGGAAGACTCAACACTGTGAAAATGTCAGTTCTACCCAAAGCGATCTACAGATACAATGCAATCCTGATCCAAATTCCAACAGCATTTTTTAATGAGATGGAGAAACAAATCACCAACTTGATATGGAAAGGAAAGAGGCCCTGGATAAGTAAAGCATTACTCAAGAAAAAGAACAAAGTGGGAGGCCTCACAGTACCTGATTTTAGAACCTATTATACCACCACAGTAGTCAAAACAGTCTGGTATTGGTACAGCAACAGTTACGTAGACTGATGGAACAGAAGTGAGAATCCAGACATAAATTCATCCACCTATAGCAGCTGGTATTTGACAAAGGCCCGAAGTCCATCAATTGGGGAAAAGACAGTCTCTTAAACACATGGTGCTGGCATAACTGGATATCCATCTGCAAAAAACTGAAACAAGACCCATAACTCATGCCATGCACAAAAATGAACTCAAAATGGATCAAAGACCTAAATATAAAATCGAAAATGATAAAGATCATGGAAAACAAAATAGGGACAACAATAGGAGCCCTAATACATGGCATAAACACAATATGAACCATAAGTAACAATGCACAAACACCAGAAGAGAAACTAGATACCTGGGAGCTCCTAAAAATCAAACACTTACGCTTATCAAAAGACTTCACCAAAAGAGTAAAAAGACAACCTACAGACTGCAAAAAATTTTTTGGCTATGACAGATCCAGTCAGCACCTAATCTCTGAAATCTACAAGATACTGCAAAACCTCAACAACAAAAAGACAAACAACCCAATTAAAAAATGGGCAAAGGATATGAACAGGCCCTTTGCCAAAGAAGACGTTCAGGTGGCTAACAGACACACATGGAACACAATCATTAGCTATTAGAGAAATACAAATCAAAACTACAATGAGATACCATCTCACCCCAACAAGGCTTGCATTAATCCAAAAACACACAAAATAATAAATGTTGGAGAGGTTGTGGAGAGACTGGAACACTTAATACACTGTTGGTGGGAATGTAAAATGGTACAACCACTTTGGAAATCAATTGGCGCTTCCTTAAAAAGCTAGAAATTAGAAGTACCATACAATCCAGCAATCCTGCTCCTTAGAATATATCCTAGAGAAATAAGAGCCATCACACAAATAGATAACATGCACACCCAGGTTCATTGCAGCACTGGTCCATGATAGCAAAAAGATGGAAACAGCCTGGATGCCCATCAGTGGACGAATGGATGAACAAATTATGGTATAGTCACACAATGGAATACTAGGCAACAATAAAGAACAACGATGAAACCGTGAAACATAACATGGAGGAATCTGGAAGGCATTATGCTGAGTGAATTTAGTCACAAAAGGACAAATACTGTATTTTATAAGACCAATATTATAAGAACTCAAAAAGGTTTAAACATAGAAGAAAACATTTTTTTGATGGTTATGAGGGTGGAGAGGGAGGGAGAGGGTTATTCACTAACTAGATAGTAGACAAGAATTAGGTGAACGAAAGGACAGCACACTATGGGGACGTCAGCACAACTGGACTAAACCAAAGCTAAGAAGTTTCCTGAATACAGTCAAACACTTTGAGGGACAGAGTAGCAGGGGTGGGGGTGTGGGAACCATGGTTTCAGGGAACATCTAGGTCAATTGGCATAACAAAGTTTATTAAGAAAATATTCTACATCCCACTTCGATGTGTGGCATCTGGGGTCTTAAAAGCTAGCGGGCAGCCATCTAGGATGCATCAGTTGGTCCCAGCCCACCTGGAGTAAAGGAGAATGAAGAACACCAAAGTCACAAGGAAGGTATTAGTCCAAGAGACAGAAAGGGCCACATAAACCAGAGACTCCATCAGCCTGAGACCAGAAGAACTAGACGGTGCCCAAGTACCACCATAGACCACCCTGACAAGGAACACAAGAGAGTGATGGAGCAGGAGAAAAGTGGGATGCAAAACTCATTCTAATAAACAGACCAGACTTAATGGTATGACTCAGACTGGAGGGACCCAGGAAGATACGGCCCCCAGCCACTCTATTAGCCCAAAACTAAAACCATTCCCAAGGCCAACTCTTCAGACAAAGATTAGACTGGACTATGGGACATAAAATGATAGTCATGAAGAGTGTGCTTAGCTCAAGTAGATACATGAGACTAAATGGGCATCTCCTGTCTGGAAGTGAGATGAGAAGGCAGAGAGGGTTAGGAGCTGGTTGACTGGACACGGAAAATCGGGTGGAAAGGGAGTGTGCTGTCACAGTGTAGGGAGAGCAATTAGGGTCACATAACTATATTTTTGAATGACAGACTAACTTGAATGGTAAACTTTCACTTAAAGTACAACAATAAAAAAAAAAAAAAATTAAAAATCTCTCCCGATGAGCAAGGAACCGCTGGGCGGGAACACTCAGGCTGGGGCGCAGTCAAAGCGCGCGCCACACGCACCGTGCAGTTCAGTGGGAATCTCCAGGGTGGTCGCCCTGAGTAACTGGAACTGCGACCACGTGGAAAAACTGAGACATCAACTCTCGTGTCCACAGGAAAACGGGGCACTTACTCTACTTTGAGAAGCTGAGGCCAGAAACTTAACTAGTTGAGCAATTTCTGGGCCCCTTTGCAGGCTGTGAACTCTTTGAGAACATCCCTCAATCGCAAAGAGAAATTTGGTTGCGAGAATATGGCTAAAATTCTGCATATCCTGTAGCTTAGTGAAAGGAGACTTGGAGTGTCACAACAGTTCCGGGCTCAGGCCTTCAACGGAGAAGCTAGTCGCGGTTAGGGCTCGGGGCACCTGCCGCCAGTCGTCTGGCCGCTGGAGCTGCGGGAGGACCCGGCGCTGGGGGCGCTGAGCGCGGGCCGCGCTTCCGGGGCTGGGCGGGCGCGTCAGCGCAGCCGGCTGCTTCCGGCCTCAGCGTGAACAAGGGCCGTAGGTGTGAGGGACGACCTGGAGGCGGGACGGGTAGGCGTGATAGAGATCTGTGCCAAAGCGGACAACCTCCCGCTCTTGGCTCGCGCCCTCGCTGTCACCTTTTCGTGCCTGTCCGTGACCCCACTGCCCTGGCGGTGGTGCGTCCTCTGCTGAGGAGGGTTGGGGAGACGCGAGTGCAGGCGGCGAGGGAGTAGCCCGAACCCCGGCGTCTTTCGCCGCCACCGCTTTTTCTTGCCTCGCTCGGCTGTGCATTTCTTTCGTCTCCTTTGTCATTTTCCCCCCTCTCGGGTGTGGGGGATTGTTGGTGAACGAAAGTGCAGCCTCAAGATGGCTGATGGCAACGAGGATCTGCGGGCAGACGACTTTCCAGGGCCAGCCTTCGAGAGCTATGAGTCCATGGAGCTCGCCTGCCCCGCGGAGCGCAGCGGCCACGTAGCCGTCAGCGACGGGCTCCACATGTTCGTCTGGGGTGGCTACAAGGTCAGTGGGTGGCCGGGCCGCTGCGGGCATCGCGGCAGTTTCCCGGGCCGGGGATGTCGGATGGCGCTGCGCCCCGCCGCGCCCCCTCCCGGTGACTTTGCCCGTGGGCTCTTTTGCCTGCGGGTGGGAATCCTGTCCCCAGTCCCCCAACCCGTCTCAAGGCTCCAGGGGTGTTCTCTCTCTCCGAGCCGGGTTGTCTCGCCGACCTCTGCTTACGAAGTCCACTCTCCTCTCCTCCCAACACTGTTCGCGGCAGCCCTGTGCGCGCCACTTGACATTGGAGCATTCGTTTAGGGGGAAGGCACCATGTTAAATTTGGTTGGGCAGTGCATGAGTATGAAACTTTTTCTTTAATAAAGGGTTAGGGGTGTGTAAGAGGTGTCCGTGTATGATGTCACTCTGCCCCTTTATTGGCTAGCTCCAGGACTTTACCCAAGCTGCGGCTGCCCACTGTGAGGTGGCCAAGGTGTAGGAGAACCCTCTGGGATTCCGAAAGGCTGCAGGAATCGCCCTCCCTCCTGTGCAGGAGTCCCAGCCGCACCTGTGCAGACGGCCATCAGACCACTGTTTCAGGGCCCTTTTCTTGTTTCAGCTAAAAAAGGGCTGAAATTTTTCAAAAGAAACACTTGTTAAGGAAATTAATGAAAAAGTTCCACCAATAACCAAAAAAGCCTAGCAGTAAATGTGATTACAGAGTGCAGATATTTGACCCCTAATCTTAAACAATGTGATCAGTTACCAGTTTAGTTGTATTTCTTCTCTTCTTCCTAGCTGGAGAATCCTACCCAAGTGTCCCTATTTAAACCTTGCTCATTATTTCTCCTCCTGCCCTTTTTATTTTAGAGCTCCCTAATTAATTTGCCAATGCTTTCCCCAGCCACCAATGAACAGGTGTTTAGAGGAAGGTGGTATGTGGTATGGAACTGCTGGGAAGAAGGAAGCAGGTGGTTGTTAGGTGCTATGGAGTCGTTTGCCGCTCATAGTGATCTTATGTACAACAGAATGAAACACTGCCCGGTCCTGCGCTGTCCTCACAATCGTTGCCATATCTGAACCCATTGCTGCAGCCACTGTGTCAGTCCATCTTGTTGAGGGTCTTCTTTTTCGCTGACCCTCTACCAAGTATGATGTCCTTCTCAGGGACTGGTCCCTCCTGGTAACATGCCCAAAGTATGTGAGACAAAGTCTCACCATTCCTGCTTCTAAGGAGGATTCTGGTTGTACTTCTTCCAAGACAGATTTGTTTGTTCTTCTGGCTGTTCATGGTATATTCAATATTCCTCACCACACCATAATTCAAAGGCAACTTCTATTAAAATGTAAATTCTCCTGGGGAAAAGGTAAACCTGTTGGTCAATCACACTTCAGCGTAAACTACTTTATTCATAATTCTGTTTGTAAAAAACAGCATTGAGGGAATGGGGCGTTTTCTATGGAGGTGAGAGAGAGGACTGTCAAGTGTGGATTTCTGATGTTGGGTTTATGAAAGTCTGGATGTCTGGGACTGAGGCAGGGAGAAGAAGCATGATTATTGAAATAAGTGGATGGTTCCAAGAGAGACTGTCCCTCACATTTTGACTAGGACCCTGAGAGTAGGCACAGGAAGCCCTTGGAGATTGTTTTGAAAGCAATAAACCTTGGCTTCCTACACAACAGTGAGCTTCCCTCCCCAGGCCCAGCTGGGCCACTCCCCACCTGTCCCTTTCCTAAGTGCTGGCGTCCAGAGAGAGAAATGTTTACATGGCCAACTGCTCTATTTCTCTATGTATAATACTCAAGGTTACTGGCTCTGACACCCAGTGAATTGAAATTGTTTTACTGTATGTTCACATTCTTCAGAAAATGGACAGAGAGGAGGATCACAGGCCAGAAAGGTCAACCAGTTGCTGTCGAGTCTGACTCATAGTGACCCTGTAGGACAGAGTAGAACTGCCCCCATAGGGTTTCCAAGGAGCAGCTGGTGGATTCCAACTGCCAACGTTTTGGTTAGCAGCTATAGCTCTTAACCACTGTGCAACCAGGGCTCCAGAAAGGTCAGGCAGCTGTTAAATTTGCAAATTAAATTGAAGGCAAGGAGGCTGGAACCCTGGCTCCACCTTTATTTGCTAAGTAGGCTTGGACAAATTACTTAACCTCTCTAAAACCTGTTTTAATACCAATTACTTTAAGGTTGGAGCCCTGTTGGCACAGTGGTTAAGAGCTACGGTTGCTAACCAAAGGGTTGGCAGTTCAAATCCACCAGCTACTCCTTGGAAACCCTATGAGGCAGTTCTACCCTGTTCTGTAGGGTTGCTATGAGTCGAAATCTGCTCAACAGCACCGGGTTTGAGTTTTTTTTTTTTTGTTTACTTTTAAAGTTTTAAGGATTAAATGAAGCGATCCATAGATAGCATTCAGCCAGTTCTTGCATATGGTAAACTCAGTCTGTTTGTTAGGCATTAATTACCTGAAGGGAAATGGTGCACAGCAGGGAATTCAAATTTTGCATAAGGACATATTTACATTTTGAAGAGAGAGAAGTCAGTTCTGCCCTCTCTGCTTCTTGGTAAAGAATGAATGGTACAAGGAAAGATTGGCCAGAAAACCATACATCATTTATTAGCATGGGTCAGGCACTTTGAACGTAGACCTTTCAGCCTGCCAACCATGGTACAGGTAATCTCTCCTGAAATCATGCAACTGAAGTTTGGCACATTGTCTGTTCTCAGGATAAAGTGGTCTTAGAGGTTTCCCAGAGTTCCTTTAATTTCCTGCTCTTTGCAACTGCTGTATCAAAATGTAAATTTAAGAGCTTTGCCTTGAGTATGTGGCATGGGTTGGGAGGACTGCATTTGATATAATTGTAAGACCTATTTTTCATAACTCTTAGTACCTCAAATAAGTTAGATATGAAAAATATACAGTAGTGCCTCTTTAAAATACCATTTTTCACATTTGCAATTTTTTGGTTCTTAGAGTAATCAAGTCAGAGGATTATATGACTTTTATCTGCCTAGAGAAGAACTATGGATCTACAACATGGAGACTGGAAGATGGTAACTGGGGGGACTAAAACGTTCAAATAAGCTTGCAAAGAAAAACAAACTATGTAAAATCTGTTCTAAAGAATAAAAATATTTTAATTGATGCTAAACAGTGTTCTACCAGTTCAGTTTAGCTACTAAGCTTAGATACTTTAGCATCCTTAATTTGCTTATGATCTCTTCAGAAGTGCTTCAGTAATTAGATGCTTCATGACTTGTGAAGAAATTTCTGCTCAGAGTTCTGTAAAGTATCATGGTAATATTAAAGAGGCAGAAGCATCAGATCCTGGAATGGAACTATAAAAGTTCCATATACAAACAAGGTGTTATTAAGCCTTCTGTTTTATGGTATCTTGAATAAGAAGTAATTTCTACATTGTATCTATTAGAAATAAAGCTGGTGTCCTACTGTAGAGTTCCAAAATTAAAATTTCTATGCAAATCTCTTTAAAATACAGTGTCAGTATAGACTGTTTACTAATCTTTTTCAAGAGAATTAGAAATTTATAATAGTATTCCCCTCAAAAGGGCAATTCTACTTATTTTTAATTCAGCCCCATAAGGAATTTTTAAAAATGTTACCAAAAAAACTTCAAGCTTAGCAAAGATAAAGTGATAATGTATCTTGTAAGTATGAGCAGAAGACTTTGACTGTACTATTAGATTCTGAATTTTAGATTTCTTAGGGTTTCTGGTTTAGATTCATTTTTAAGATTCAGAATGAGTTATTACATGCAGAGCATTTAGAGGAGTGCCTGGCATATAGTAAGCATTACCTAAAGTGTTTTGGTAGTATTACATAAGGGTCTGAATCAGATTCATTTGAATGGCTAAAAGGTGACTGAATGAAGAACACCTATTGAATTAATCTGCCTGGACCGGATGTTGAACAGTTTTCCTTTTGAGTTCCTGGCCCACCTAAAAAAAACAAAAACAAAACTCCAGCTATTTATGGCCATGTTAATAAAAAGCAACTAGTTTAGTTTGAGAAACATAAAATGGTATGTCCCTAGAGTAGTAAAATACGGCACTTAGGCCTTCAGAACGTCTCATTCTGCCCATGTGTAGGACCAGCTGGCATTGCTCATGGAATGGGTGAACAGGGAAAAGCTCTCATTCACTGAATTAATTTTAGAGCTGGAAGAGACCTAGATACTATTTGGTCAGTCCTCTCATTTTTCTTCCTTTACTGTGGGGATACAAGTAGAACAGAAATGAATAATCTTGCATTTCTTCCTTTTTGGGAAATTTATTTACATGTGATTTTCTCCCCCTCAGGAAGAAAATTAACACTGAAGGTGATGTTCCTCCTTCTATGTCAGGGAGCTGTGCTGTGTGTATAGACAGAGTGCTATACTTGTTTGGAGGACACCATTCAAGAGGCAATACAAATAAGGTTAGTGTTTCTAAGGATTACAGTTCAAGGTAATTTTATTCTTATTTTCAAACAACCTCAGATTTCTAAGGTTAACCCCATGCTTATTCCTGTCCCAGTTAAAGAAATATATGTACTCGATTATTGTACGAATGTGAATTTTAGCACTTTGTTTACTGGTGTATATTTACCTAGGCCTTTTGTAAAGTCAACTTCTGTTGGTAACTTAACTGTGTGCAAAAACTTCCTAGGGTGCTTTTCTTTGCTCTTTGCAGCTATTTGTTCTCTTAGAACCCTGAGTGATAATGAACATTAGTAAATTAGGAAAGAACATTACAAACAAGATGTAATGATGGAGGGAAGAGTGAAATTGAACAGAACACCACTCAGAAAGCCATAAGGATAAATTAACACTTACAGAATTCCACATACTAATATTCCTATGCTATGGTGCCATAAGATACTGCTGTTCAGTCTTTGTGGTGTTTTCCAGCTAGGAAAAAGATGTCAGTTGTTCTGTTTCAGGCCAGTTAGAGACAGATGAAGTCAGTCAGATTGTGTTAATTTGGCTCCTAAGTATCTTACCTGCTGAGCACTTGGTTGGACACTGGATACACAAAAATGAATGATATAGTCCCCGTCTCTAGGAGCTCACATTCTAGAAGGGACACATAAGTAAACAACTGTAGTAGCATATGACAGATACACAGAGTCTGGGTCATAGCAATAACTCAGTAAATACTGTTGAATTTGAAAAGGAATTCTTAACATTGTATGTGGTAGGATGGGGAGTGGAATAAGGAAAAGCTTCACTCAAGAGGTGATGTTTGAAATGAATGATAAAATTGGAAGAGGTAGCCAATATATAGGTATCAAGTTGTAGAGGTATAAGCAAATTTATCTTATTCATGCAAATGCCCAAATGGTGTGGTGTAGATGGAACATAAGGCTGAGATGGTTTCAAACTGTACGTCTAGAAACCGTAGGGATTTCTTTGAGATGCTTTGGGACATCTGTGGGAGGAACATACGGTATTAGGTGGGCTCTGGACCACCCCTCCTTCTCTACATTAACAAGCACACCCTCACTTTTGTTTTTATACTGAGTTTTTGCTTAAGATTTTGCTTGAAAAGTGTTCTGTGCCTAACGGATTTTGTGAGGCACTACTATAGGCTGTAATTGAGCTGTGTATTTCTCAGAGGCAACGGGGAGATACAAGAATAAAATCTGACCCAGTGTGAAGAAGCTTGGAAAGGAGGGAAGCTGTTACCTTACAGGGCGGTCAGAGAGATGGCAGCAGTTAGTATGTGAAGTGGCCAGGGCTGAGTGTTTTTTAAGTTTGACTGAAAGAAGACTGGGTGTCTTAAGAGGTAAAAACATGTAATTAGCAGGATGTGACCTCTTTGAAGGATTGTTGTTGTTAGGTGCCGATGAGTTGGTTCTGACTCATAGGGACCCTATGTATAACAGAATGAAATACTGCCTAGTCCTGCACCAGCCTCACAACCTTTGAAGGATACCCATAATTAATCTTTTAAATATTTGTCCTTAGCTCCTGGAGTTAAGGAGGCACTTACGATATGTTTGTTAAACTGAATTTGAAGGTGAAATTACTATATCCAATTTTTTTGGTAATACTGTCCTGTCAAAGTGGCTACCTAAGGCAAGAAATAAGGAATTTGTGCCAGAATGTATCAATGTACTGCTGCTTCCTTCATCAAAAAAAAGTCTTGCTACGGAAAACAATTAGCTGAACTAAACAGTGTGCTTGGTTAATTTACGTTCTGGCAGAAGTTCCTTAACTAGACCCAGACCAGTATCACTTTGCAGACTGGCAGCCAGTCTGCAGTTCACTTTTAGTAGCACCAAATTATGACATTCTTATAAATCACAGTGAAATTACATGCCAAAATTGATTTTCTTTCACATAACCAAATCTAACTGAAATTACTGCTTTTGACAGTTCTACATGCTGGATTCAAGATCTACAGACAGAGTGTTACAATGGGAAAGAATTGATTGCCAAGGAATTCCTCCATCATCAAAGGACAAACTTGGTGTCTGGGTATATAAAAACAAGTGAGTTAACAGCACTATAGGATTTAAGTGTAAAAAGTGGTTTAACTAATAACCACTGTAACCATAGAACATACCTCATAGGGCTGTTATGAGGATTAATACATGAAAACACTTAACACAGCACCTAAGACATAGTTAAATGCTCAAAAAATGTAATTTTTATTTGAGTATTTTCATATACTTGTGT